TTATAAAATGGAGCACACTTTCAAATTTACAGCCTTGTTCATTGCAAGTAAGTAAAATTTAATGTGAGGGCTTCCCAGGTGGCTCAGTGGTAAAGAATCTGTCTGTAATGCAGGAGATGCGAGTGATCCCTGGATTGGGAAGATGTCCTGAAGCAGGAAAGGGCAACCTACTCCAGTACTCTTGGCTGGAAAATTCCACAGACAGAGGAGACTGATGGACTACCATGGGGCCACAAAAAGTCAGACACGACTGAGCGACTGCCCACACGACATTTAATGTAATTGGCTCTTCTTCCAGTTTTATGGAATGAGATCCTCAGAGTTGCAGAATTTCAGAGCTAGAAGGAACCTTTCATTCTAAGTCCATTTTAAGTCTCTCATTTGAGAAACTGGTCAACTGAATCCACCAATATTAAAAGGACTCCCAGCATCCCAGGAGTTAAACACAGAGACATGTTAGACCCCAGTCAAAGGACTCAATCCATGGTACTTGCTGCCAAGCTCCACGAAGTCTTTCGTACATCTATCTGTCTGTGAATCTGCTAACACCTGCACCCTTGAGTTCTGACACCTTTGGGGATCTGAACAGGGACATGTGGTACCGCTTTTTGACTGGCCAGCATGAGCAGGGCATCAACACCTCAATGCTAAAAGAATTAGACTCACACAAAAATTTCACAAACTCAGACAGGAATATTTACTTCCCCCTTGTTAAGTCAATGCAGTCTTCAAATACAAAGGCAGCAAGGCCTCTATGATTTCTTTCACTCAAAAAGAAATTATAAAAAGGCAGAGTTCGGAATGATTCTGAAGAAAAGGAGATCTCAAGGAACAGATGCTTTCAATGCACAGTTGTTGAGCTTGAGGGCAAGGGCGGTGTCTAAGAAAGGCAGTGATGGATGAATGCAATGTCCACCTTTAGAAAACCTCTTCCGTCAATGGCAGGGTATGTGAGGAGACATCACAGTCTGGCCCGTATTGTTCCTAAGATGCAGACCAAATCCAGGGCGAAGTCAAGTGCTTGGCCAGAAGTTGGGGTGTGATTGGCCCACTTGATACAAAAGGCAGGGGGTAGCGAGAGGAGAAAGGAAGCTCTTCATCTTAACCAGATCTGGGTTTCTTTCCCAGACACACATGAGCCTGCTCCTCCTGAAGAGTGCCCAGACTGTCCCAGGGCAGAGGCTGCTGCTCCCACTTGCACCAGCGCTGGAGATGGGCTGAGGTGGGTGTCCGTGATTGCTCCTGGGGGCAGCCCCTCATCTGTGCCGCAAATCCCACTAGGCAGGAACACAGCTGCCACCCTTCCCTCCTTACCCAGTCTGGTCCCCAGCAGCTTCCTTAGAGCATAGTGGTCTTCGGGGAAAATAATCACAGGTTTTGAGCTGAAGACAAGTTCAGAAATCTTGTGGCAAAATCTTCAAAGAAAAATTCGAAGACATTTAAAAATTCAAACAGAAAATAATTAATCAGTCTTACATTAACCTTTATAACCTCAATCTTTGAATTTCCTTCCTCTTTTGAGTGCAATCACATCTGTGCTGCCCAAAGAAACAAGATGTGATTTCTTCCGGGTCATCACTGTGATCACCATCAAAGAATAGCAAAGACAGTAATTAGTACTCCACACCAAATCAGCCTGAGATTTGACATAAATTGCATTTGTCCTCTGCAGAGCTTAAAGGAAGCACTTTTATTTCCTAGTTTTCTAATGAGTTGCTGTCATTTGGCAGAAGTTTCTGAAATATTGCTTCTTACAGACCTTTCTTGCCATTAGCATTTTTTAAAAGAAAAACAAAATGAAGATTCAAAAAAATAAGTACCACTGCTTTACCTTCAGTATGGAATCAGCCTCAGAAAGCATTAAAGGTAAGGGGAAGGAAAAATTAGGCACACTACCTTAGTTCCTTGGAAACTTTGAGGTCCATTTTTCCAGGAGGCTGTTTGCAATTTCCAGAGAGGCTTGGACAGTCAGTCAATGAGGGCCAAATCCTCAGGTGCAACTAGACATCAGCGATTCTTTTTAAACAGTTTCTGAATATCTTCAGAAGTACTTGTATCCAGAGTATAGGTATGACAGACCAGCCAAGCAGGAAAACTTGGTCAGGAAGTCATCCATCCATAGGAATATTGGATAAAGCTCCACTCAGTTTTGTGACCCTTTAAGGGTTTCTGGGGCAAAGAGGGAGGAAAAATCCAGACTCTCTGGTCTGAGGAAACAGCTAAGAGTCCTGGGAGACCAAGGTGGTTCCAGTCCATAGGACAGAGTAAGACAAGAGAGCTCCACAGAGAGACTCCCAGATCTGCAGAGGATTTCCCTCAAAATCACAGCAATGTACTATTAGCTTTTTAAAATTTCCTTTTAAATGTGTAGAGATGCTCAACATCGCTCATTATTAGAGAAATGCAAATCAAAACCACAATGAGAGATCACCTCACACCGGTCAGAATGGCCCTCATCAAAAAGTCTACAGACGATAAATGCTGGAGAGGGTGTGGAGAAAAGGGAATGCTCTTGAACTGTTGGTGGGAATGTAATTTGAGACAGCCACTATGGAAGATGGTATGGAGATTCCTTAAAAAACTAGGAATAAAACCACCATATGACCCAGCAATCCCACTCCTAGCCATATACCCTGAGGAAACCAGGGCTGAAAAAGACACATGTATCCCATTGTTCATTGCAGCACTATTTACAATAGCTAGAACATGGAAGCAACCTANGGGTTTGAGTTGTTGGGGATTAATTATAGAAAATGAGCCCATACCTCATCCTATTCCCCTTCTGAGGATCATGCATCACCCCACAGACAGGACTTGCAATGTGGTGGCTGAAGAGAACTTCTCTGTGAGAATCAAGAAGGGATTTATGGTGGAGTCAAACATTGTAGCAGAATCCCACTGGGTATCAGTACCCCACTTTCCTCAGGCCTTGGTGACAGCAGGCTGATGCTGTGTTGGGATGGGTGATTCTTCAAAACAAACATTACTAATTTCAAATGAAACTTTGATAAAGGGCTCTCAGACAGGAATGAGATCTCTGACAAGTGCAGCGGTGTATGTAATGAGGCATGTGTGCTTAGTCACTTCAGTCATGTCTGACTCTGTGCTACCCATGGACTGCAGTTTGCCCGGCTCCTCTGTCCATGAGATTCTCCAGGCAAGAATACTGGAGTCAGTTGCCAATTCTTTCTCCAGGGAATCTTACTGACCCAGGGATTGAACCTATGCTTCATAAAGGACTAAAGGATTGGTGTGACTTTCTACTGACCAAGAGCGGGGTGAGGGGGGAGGGATTGAGCTAGTGAACAAGGGGCAACATCTTCAGTATCATCCTACTCTCTTTCACCCAAAGGCCCCACTGACATGAGGCAAATTTCCTTCTTAACATAATCATTCATCATCCTCACTTTCTTGCTTAGTAATCACTCAACCTCGGAAACCAAGTTCGGTTACCTTTTTTAACAAAAGCTATTACAAATTGTGTTTTGTAAAAGTAACAGCTTATACTTAGTAAGTACACTTAGAAAGGAACAAATAATTACTTTGATTTTGAGAGGTTTTGTTAGTGTCAACTAATATTTTGTCAAATAGCACTTGCTAGAACTGGTGTTTTCATACATATTTATGGATTATTTAATATAATATCTAAAATAATTCATATATTGGTATTCTTCAGAAAAGTTACATAAAGCATTGTGGTAGATCACAGGTCACTACAATATGTAGCAAAATCTGACTCAGAATGTACTTGATTGAAATGAAATAGTTATCAACTTAAAGTTTAGAATTACTAGGTCCAATAAAGGGGAAAGAAATTTACTGAAAAACTTTTAGTATGTTAGTATTCCATCAATAATAACTTTCTAAAGTAAAGCTGTATATTTTCATCACAGTTTAATATATGCAGAATTCAACTAATAAATATAAGCATTTCATAATTTTCCTGGGTTAGAGCATGACCTACAGGAAGGCACTCGATTTCCCTGGTTTTGAAAGATTAGCTCCTACAAATAACATATAAGGATGACATAATGAAGAGATAAACCTTTGGGGTGGAGTAAATAATGTTCTAAGCAGAGAGTCTTCAGAAGAGTTTATTAAAATGTTGGAAAGCACCACCATAAAACAGAGACCAAGAGTTAAGAAGAGATTCAGGTCCAGAAAGTAACGCAACCTATTTCCTCCCCTGTGGATATGTAACCAAAGCTAGAGCTACTGCTGGCCCCATCTGTACCCAGCATACTTGGTATAAGTTAAACAGAATATGACATTTTAAGGTCATTTCTGGAAAAATTACTGACTTACATGGCAACTATCATAGAACCTATGTAAAAGCATTCATTTCTATCGATTTCTCCCTCTTGAAGAAACAAAATACAGTGTCATGTAAATAACGTGTCAGAAGATTGGGTTCTAATGTTCTGATGGTGGTGTGATAACAGTGAGTTTTTTCACCTGAATAAACCTCCATTTCCTTATCTAAACACTGATCAGATCTGACTGCCATTAAAATGCCCACAGGAGCCAGAAGCACCCTGACTTTCAGATGATAAAGTTTTCTGATACTGGTGGTTCTGTGAGGTACGGAAAACAGCGGCAGCATGGGGAGTGCATGTCTCCTACTGGTGACAGCGGCTGCAGTGGATTGTCTCCAGGTGGGAACGCAGGCCCTGTGTTACCATCCAGTCAGATTATTCAGGAAAATACAGAAATTCAAACTTTTATGTCAAGTATCCTAGTTTTGAAATATTGGCAACTAATCTAAAATTAGGGCTTCTCTGGGGGCCCAGGGGTAAAGAATCTGCCTGCAATGCAGGAGTTCCAGGGTTCAAACCCTAGGTGGGGAAGATCCCCTGGAGAAGGGAATGGCTACCCACTCCAGTACTCTTGCCTGAAGAATTCCACCAGACAGAGGAGCCTAGCAGGCTACCATCCCTGGGGGCCACAAAAAGTCAAACAGGAATGGTTGACTAACATACATACACTCTAAAGGAGCGGGGAACACAGGCAACTCTGAAGGCCAAACTAAACATACATGTGAATGGACTGGGTCTTATGGCTGCCATTTGTGACCTCCAACTGGCAGCCTCCAGTTTCTCTCTGCCCTGTTGGTCCTCTGTGAGGATGGGGTAGCGTCATCCTGGGGCCACAGGCACTAACCCTCCACACAATTCTAATTAAGCTTTTTGGCACTTGGTTTCATTAGCATATGAATACAGTAGGGAATCAGGGCAACCACAGTCAGTGGGATGGACGCACTTTTACAGAAAGACAGCACGTAAAACAAATACTCGGTGTCAGTGGGGATCTTGATGAAATGGTAGAGCTGCAGGGTGGTCAACGAGACCAGGGCACAGAGCAGCCGGAAGCTCAGCCTGCAGCCGTTTTCTCCTCGACAGCTTTTGAGGAACATCTCTGAGTGAATCGCAAAGCCCAAGCCGAAGAGGACCCCGAGGTTTCTCACAAGTCCGGCAAAAGGCGTGGTGTCAATGTGGATCCAGTCGGGGTTGGCGCACCATTTCTTGGCTACGGGCACGGACCACAGCAGGTCGATGTCAAGAAGTCTGAGAAGCAGGTAAAAGCCAAGGGCAAACAGGAAGAGGAACAGATTGGTCTTCAGGTATGCGCTCAGGCTGGCTGCTTGGATACCTGGAGTGTATTCAAAGACCGCCGCTACCAGGACGCCTGGGGATTGGAAAGCGACAGTGAACAGAACTGTGTGCCTTTGAGATTCTCAGGAATCATTCCTCTCCGAATTAAAGAATTTAGCCATAGTTTTCAGTGATAAAGGGCTGTAGAAACCTAGGTTCTATCCATTTTCCAAAGCCTGTTTTTTAAAGGCAGTAACTGAAACCTCACTTTTCCCATGGTCTTTTACCCATCCACATTAGCACAGGGGGGGATCTTTCAGGAGTCCAGGGCACTGCGTAACAACCCACTTTATAGGCAAAGCACTGATCTAGGTGCTTGCAATTAATATTTCAATTGCCACAGCCAGTTAATGTAGAGAGCCTTTGAAAGATATGTGGAGTTGAAGAGCGGAAACTCGATCATTGTGAATGCTGGTAGAAATGCAAAGCAACTGCTGAATGAGGTCCACAGTTAGGTGATAATCACTGCAGGTGCTTCCAAGAGAGTGGCATGGTGCGCAGGTTGGAAGGCCATCATTAAGTCTCCCAAACCAAGACACAAGCACACTGTCTGTCCTTCGTGGTGGTTCGGGAGTTGGACTCAGCACTAATCACACTTTAGAGAAGCCCAACCATGTAGCTAAGAGGTTATGCGCTTACACTTTTGAGTGAGAATGTGCCATTGTCTGTATGGAGGATTTGAGAGATATGAAGAACCACTTTAGCTCCTAGGGCAGCAGTAAGTATCAGTGGCTTGATAGAATTAACCCGAGTTTGGGGAGCCAATTAGCAGGGAGAATCTGACAACATAAAGGACACTAACGCTTTCAATGATACAACAAAAGGTAAGTGATCATATTTACCACCAATTACTCCAAGAATAACTTGATGAGGAAAATGTGTTGCTATGAATACTCTGGAGATGCAGACACTGATTTGAATCAACCAAAAAAGACTCCAAAGAAATGACCAAGTCAGTCTACGATGGAAAAATAGAGACAAGCATAAAAAGCAAAGAAATTGTATCACTAATAAAAATGGGCGGGGGGTTGAAACCAGATGATCTTTGATAGAGGTATCTTCTAGCTGTGATGTAATATCATAATTCTAGAGGGTCTTTCCATTTTTTTTGCACTCCATAGGATTTCAAATGTTTTAACAGATGTTTCTATATTTATCGATGCATTCAACTGAACAAGTGCTAGGCTATATTGTGAAATTTTAATAAATGCTGTAAAAAGAAACCAACTTGGCATCCTGATAATTATTCTAATGAAGGGAAATTCAAGTTTAGGGGAATTATTAATATCTACAGTGATCTAGAATAAATTATATATATTTTTACTCCCTGTCATATGTGCTTCCTCTTTCCTCTCTCAACATCTCTTTGCTTGAAGAAAACTCACAGAAGAGGCAGCTGCCAATCTGATGAAAAGCATACAGGCATTCCAACAAGGGCAAGTTTTCATTGGGGTTAATTTCAAGACTCTCAAGCTCTCAAGAGTCCTAGTTCCTTGGTTTTTGACACGTAGAAAATAAGAAACAGAAAGTGACCTATGGGTTATATATGTTGAATTAGAAGCTGTAGTATGCAGAAATCTTATAAAAATATTTAAGTCCAAGCACTGTTCATCATTTTAATAAAAAATATTAGCAATAATGAGTTCTAGGAATCCTTGATGGTTCTGAATGATTTGTCCCTGATAATTGGACTAACTTTTGGATATTGAAAAGTTAAGGAATAGAGAGAAACAAGACATTCAAAGAGAAAGTAAGCAGGGGTTATCCATATAGAAGAAGAATCAATAAGGATGTGGTAATATTTAGATAAGTTGTGGGCACTCAGTACATTTTGATGGATCAACGAAATGATGCAGTTATAAGAATCAAAGAAGAGTCGAGAATTTCTTTTTTAGAAGAAACAATTTTCCAGGTTTGAGAACTGGAGGAGAAAATTAACTACAGAAAAAAGGCAAGGCTTATCTATATTCCTACTTTGAAAAATTGTCTATGGATAGAAAATGCTAATGTTAAAAAATTACAACACGTTTTTACCATTGTTGTTTTGGATTGGATAATGAATACCTTAAGGCATACAGGTCACAGTCTCATTAGGATAAACTTTAAAGATGCCCAAATTCCTTTGGTTATTTGTTTTGTATATTACCCAGTATTACTCTAAAAAGTGGAGTATGAGAAGAACCTTGGAAATTCTTTATTATAAAGAACTTCCATGTAATGGTGTATCTTATAGTATCTTTTATGCAATTAACTGAAGAACCTTATTTCAGACTGCCTAATAATTTATGATTAAAGTGATGCTCAAAGTTGTTTTAATGATAGTTAAAGTATATCAGGAAAGAAAAGAAGGGAAAAGTATAAAAATTTTGAATAATTTAAAGGTCTAGGCCTTTCAGAATGTTATGAATCTACTAACATTAAATCTACTAACATTAGAATTTAAGTTTGCTTCTGGATGTTTTAGATTAAAAGATTGCATAATATTTAAAGCTAGAATATATGTTATTTATGTCAAAATCATTAGTTAGTCAAAGAAAGCATAATTATACTAAAGTAACCAATGCATTCTAGGGGAATGAGGCTTCTCAAAAATTTCTGTTTAACCTTAAACTAAGGGAATATGCATGCAAAAATACTTCCTTATATAATTTTAGATGACTTATTTATGAACTACCAAAGTGAGTATAGTATTATGGAAACCCCAAAGGCACATTTAAAAAGTCATTAATCAATTAAACATTTCCAACCCTGTAATGTGGTAATCACTGTGAGTTAATTAGGATATTATCTTAGAGCAAAATATTAATCTTCTATTCATTTTGCTATACTGGCTATGACAGAATTGAATAAGCACATTTCAATAATTAAAAATACACTAAACTGAATTTGTAAAAAGACCTTCTGTGTTTAAAACTGTCACGTTCCAGTGCTACAGAGATTGGAGCAAAGCTGACCTGTGCAGAGTGATAAGAGACTTATCCATCTGACTGATGGTATGGCTCAGGGCCGCTGTCACCATGACATACCAGACACATGATGAACCCATTGCATGGCCAGACGGACTTCCTGCAACAAGACAACGGCAATGCATTTGGAAGGTGGTAAATAGAGTACAACTATCGGAAATGGACAATAGAATAGCATATTAGCCATGAATATTACAAATAACTCAGGAAAAAGCCATAGGACATAGGCTATTTGTAACACTTAGTAATGGGTAGAAATAAAGAAAATTGAGTCAAAATTGAGTCAAATACTATTTCAAAAAATTTCCCCGGGTTACTCAAGTTCACTGAAGTCCAGAAATCAAAATGTTCAAGTCTAATTCAGAATTCAGGCTGTTGCATCAAAAAATCTGCCACATCCTTAGTCAGTCTTCATATCTAATTGTTTTTAACTGATGATAAAATTGAAATACTTGGATTGAATCTTGAATCAGCTTATTTTCCTTGGGCTGAAAAGTCAAACATCTTAAAGCTATCACTGCTATGTCTCATTTACCAACTGACGGCTGTGTACTAGCTACCCCTGTGCCCATCTTGTGACTGGTTGCTGCACTAGGAGCCTTTGTCATTAAATGGAAAAGGGAAGCTACAAAGTGGCATCAATCCTGGCAGAATAAATCTGCAGACAGGAAGCCTTTCTACTCCCAGAATGTCTTTCCCATGTTGCTAGTACTCCTTGAGTTTTTACCAAGTGGAGATGCATTGAGCTTAAACATCAGTCTCTTTTTGAAAAACACCAAGTTAAATAAAGACAAATCTACTACTTATGCATCTGTTTCTTTCAAATCAATTTTTTAAACAGAAATTTTCACGGCTTTTTATATGTTTCATGAGTTGATATATATATACAAGAGAAAAAACAAAGTGGAAAGAAATAGCTCTAAGATTAGAGAGAATTTCGGCAGGCAATAGTAATACCAGGAAGTCCTTACCTTTCTTACAGAAACCCTGTCTATTGTCTCATTTATGTGATTCTCAGAAGATCTATAATAACTTTGAAAGATGCACAGCATCAGATAAATCAGCATTTCCGGTATTTTAATATAGTTTTTTTAAAAATTTGTTCTAGTTAATTGAATTTAGTTTGTTTCTATATCAAACCATGACCTTCTTCCAAAAAAAAAAAAAAATGCCAAGAATAAAATCATTTGGGGAATATTCTCTTAACTTATCCTTTTAAAAATTTTTTAAAAAATGAAATTTTCTTACTCATAAAAGTTTTACCCTTTTCACTAGCAATTTTTGTTTATGAACTTTTAGCATCCTCACGCATGCAGTTTTCTTTAAAACCCTCTATGATACTGTGCAGTTATTAGGTTATAATTACGTACAATGGCTATCTGTTGGAATATCTTTAGTAACCTGAGGCTGCTTTAATAGCTTACCTGGACCTGTTTCACATGTAGTAGGGAACTGTTCAAGGCATGGACTTGAGTGATTTGGGTAAATCTGAGTTTCTTGAACCCACCAGTAAGGCCGATGACCAAATAATATCCTGTATTTAAAGAAATATAAATATGCATATATGTTTAAACACACAGTTATTACTTAATTGGAGACTAACTATTCTCCCCTATTAAAATGACTCAAGCAGACTGTTGATGAGGAAAGCTCATTATTGAGAGACTTTGAAAGAACTTGAGTTCTGGTCTGTCTCTCATTATAGAGGATGAGTCATATGGAGTTTGGACATCCTAGTTTCCAATAAAAACAGGGACTTTTTTCCTTGCAAGGGAAGTCTTTCAGTGCTTTGGATATTTAGACTGAAAATACCAAAGTGGTCCTTGGAATTATTAATCTGTTCATTATGGTGCAATTTGTTTAACCCACTTCTTGGTTAATCACACCATATATGTTATAGGCTTTTGGAATTTACTTCGAAGTCAGATAAAGTATAGACTTCTATGCTCTTTTGTAAGTTCTGTTTACAAATAGGTGTTTCTAGTTAACCAGTATGTTGGAAAGATTTTCCAAGTAAAACTATACACATCTGAAATGTGATCACTAAGCCAAAGCTACAAATTTTAGAAGAAGCTTTATGAAGAATGAAACAAAACAGAAGGCTTACCATTTAAAAATAAGATTGAACCAATCCCCAATGACTGCTACCCATATCATCTTAGTTCCAACTGTCTGATTAAGTTGAAACCAAAGTGGAAAATAAATAGAAAAGATATTCCGGGGATCTCCAACATTGGACATAAAATTTAGAAAACTGTAGTAAGCTCGGTAGTCCTTCTGCAAATGCTGAATAACGAGCACTCCATTCCTATGAAGGAAATCCATCTTGAAAGAGAGGCAGTTCTAAACATAGAGTGAGTGGAGCTGAAGCGCTCTGAGTTCTACCATTTTTATACGATACGCTCTTGGCGTTTTTTTTACTGTGACATGTGATACTGACCATCTGTGGAGAGGGCATGCCTATCCTCCTCTGCTGAAAAGTTCATCTGCTTTATGATTTTAATTGATGCCAAAGAGGTGAAGTACATGCTGATCTGTGGCAAGTCGAGGGGAAATTTGGGTAGAGACACAATGCATTTCTTACGCAGTCTGTCTTTTGTGTGAACAGTTGGATCATGTTTGCTTGAAATTTTTGCACAGTTCATTTCCTTCCAGGGAAGAGACATTAGCAATTTCTGTGCTTCACTAGAAGACTATGTAAATAATTACTGCATGTCAAATAGCCCTTAAAGCAATGCATTTTAATTTAAAATAGACTGTGGCTCTTTGACTATTATATTGGGTCTTTCAGGAAAACGGATGAGTAAGTATCTAGGCATGAAAAATTTATATGGTGTGACAGTATTTTCTGATTGCAGATGTTTAAATAAAAATATTTTGATATTTCCTTATTAGCAAAGAGAATAATATGAGAGATGTGGAATAGAGAAGAAAATACATGGAGTATATGAAATCTGCAAGGAAATGTGTTACTTTTCAACTGTGAGTTCATAAAGCAGATATGGAGATTACTGAGTAGTAGGTCTGCTAGATGGTAGAACTGTTAGGAATGAGGCATATTTTTATTGGCTAGTGAAAACAATTGAGAGCATGGGAGAGTTGCTCATGTGAAAAAGCCCAAGAAAATAAAGTCTGTCACTGTTTCCATTGTTTCCCCATCTATTTGCCATGAAGTGACGGAACTGGATGGTATGATATGAACTTTTTGAATGTTCGACTGGATGAAGCACAAGCTGGAATCAAGACTGCTGGGAGAAATAACAATAACCTCAGACATGCAGATGACACCACCCTTATGGCAGAAAGTGAAGAAGNCAATGTACAGTTAGGGTTGAAAATCATTGATATAAAGCAATTCATAGCATAGCTTGTTCTCCTTTTGGCCTTAAACCCCTCCCTCTGCCAAAAGTCTACTTGAAAGAAGCTTCACTGACATTTAATATGTCGACTATTGGGCTTAATTGGATTTCCCATTACATTCGATTTTTGCACTAAGTGATGTATCTTGTTGTCAAGTCTTTGGAGACTCTATCTCTAGAATGAAAGAAAACCCTAATCTCCAGAAGAGGTGAAGCAATGGAGGTAACTGAAGTGCACTTGTCATAAAATAGGGCATAGTGGTGGCAAATTTGCTCACTGAGGTTTCCCTGCTTCTCTCCCCAAAAGAACTTAAAATACAGCCTGGCTTCTATGGATAAGAACTTGGGTCTGACAGTCACTAAGTAGGCAAATGGCATCAGATCGTTTTTCAGAAAGTGTCTTTAAATGCCTTCCAGGAAATGAATTTTAATCTCTGACCATGGTGAGAACCTCACAGTCTCTTTTATTATTCTTACTGCCGTGGGAGAAGAGCCAGGAAGCAGTCAGCCAGCACTGGCTCTCCCCAGGTTTTGCTCTCCCCTTGGGCAGACTACAGACTATGAATTATATTCACTCTCATTCTCCCACTACTGTGCTAATCTGATCTGAGGGATGTTTAGGATAAAATTAATTGTGCTGAAAGCTTAGTTGTGCTTTAGAATGTCTTGCATTTATGGTCTGCCAGTTATTTACCTTTAAAAATACTCCATCTTGGGACTTTGCTGGTGGTCCAGTGACTAAGACTCTGCACTCCTGATGCAGGGGGCCTGGGTTCAATCTCTGGTCAGTGAACTAGCTCCCACATGCTGCAACTAACACCTGGCATACCCAAATTAATTTTTTAAAAAGACAAAAAAAAAAAAAAACCACTCCATCTTATTATCAAATTTTAACTTCACAGAGATCTTTATTTTAGGGATGAGGAAATGAACAAGTAACTGCCCAGGTTATTTTTTAGTATGGGAGGCCTGCTTGGAAATGAAATTTTGTTTCCAGAGCAATGATTTTTCTCAATCTAAGCCTTGTCTTGGTTGCTTAAGGCCAATATTGATGAGATTTTTAAACAGCTGCAAAATGAATAATAGCTAATGCTATAACCAGCTTGTTTCAAATGTTTTCAACCACCCAGACCTCCAGTTTCCCTGTATCATGATTGGTTGACACTGAACCACATCTGTTCAGCTGCTTGATCACTAAGAGGACTTCACAGATACAGTCACCACTTGGAATTGTTGGATGGCTCATCCCATCATTTGACAACAAGGACACAGTTGTTGTGGGTACGCAGGGACTACTGTTAACTTCCCAGTTGCTGACAACTTCCCTGGAGGAAATATAAAGTGGCACAAAGACGGCTCCCTCCAGAGCTTATGCGGAGCTCTGATGCCCATCTGCTGCTGATGGCCTTGGGACCCAGCATATGTTTTCTTCTCTGGGAATAGTCATGTATGGAAATAAATTGTGCTGTGCTAAGTTGCTTCAGTCGTGTCTGACTCTTTGTGACCCTGTGGACCACAGCCTGCCAGGCTCCACTGTCCATGGGATTCTCCAGGCAAGAATTCTGGAGTGGGTTGCCATTTCCATCTCCAGCGGATCTTTCTGACCCAAGAATCAAACCCGTATCTCTTATGTCTCCTGCATTGCCAGGCAGGTCCTTTAAGACTAGCATCACCAAATAAATTAAATTTACTCAGATGAGAGCAAACGTAGATTATTTATTCTGCTTGCTATAGCAAGGGCCAGCCACCATCTCATGCATCTGACAAAAACACAAAAGTGGACAGAGGATTGGAAACACTATATAAAAAAAAAAAGGAAGGGAGGCCTCAGGGTTGCTCTGATAAAAGGTGGTTGGTGGCGTGTGTAATCTGGAGATAAGCTTCTAGAAGTAGAGCATCTTAGGTGATTGGTTTGGGACACCATTTGGCTGTCTCTGGTTGGTCCTGAGTTGAAAGCAGAGGCAAGAAAACTGGCAGTCATTGACCAAGTTCTGAGCACCCTGGGCATTTTGCTTCAGGTGTTGTGGATCAGAGTTTGTTGTTATATTTGGTCTGGCTATTGTCCATTTGTATACCCTGTCTTTCACAAGACAAATTGAATAAGCATATGCCAGAAGTAATTTATGCAGCATCCCACCAAGAAATAAGGGACTCCCTGTGATTCTGAGTCTATAATTCTTATTTATTAATATTTATTTATTTGTCTGCGCTGGGTCTCAGTTGCGGTACTTGGGATCTTCTATCTTTGTTGCAGTTTGGAGGATCATTAGTTGTGATATGTGAAATCCTTAGTTGCAAACTTAGTTACAGCATGTGGGATCTAGTTCCTTGACCA